TTTTTTGTGTGTGTGTGTGTGTGTGTGTGTATCTGTCATGTATGTGTGAGTGTTCTCAGAGGCTAGAAGAAGGCATCAGACTGGATGTGAGTGTTGAAAACCAAACTTAGAAGAATAACAAGTGCTCTTAACCGCTGAGCCATGTCTCCCTAGCCCCAGTTTTTAGTTTTTTGAGACAGGATGTCACTGTGTAGCCCAGGTTATCCTTGAACTCAAGCTAACCTTGGACATATGACTCTCCTGCCTCAGTCTCTTGGGTGCTTGGATTATTGCCATTATGCTTGGCCCTGGGGGAGACATTAAGCAGCCTCTACCTCTTGGTCACCTCTTCAGGTTTAAGGTGAGTTCCCCTTGTGAGCTGGCGTCTGTCTCCACCTTGAAGACAGGCACATAGTCAAGGTACGCGCACCTGCATCTCTCAGTAACCTCTTAAAACCACCTCCTGAGTGAGCACTTGCTCTAAATGTTTTAAAAATTAAATTTTGGTATATTTGTCTGTGTGCGTGCACATTTAAGGAGATCAGAGGGAAGTTGATTCTCTCTTTTCATCATGCGAGACGTAGGATTAACTCAGGTGTCAGGCTTGGAAGCAAACACCTTTCCCCACTGAGATCTTGCTGGCCCTTCTGAGATAGTGTCGATTTGAAATATTTTGTCTTTCATTCCCAAAAGAAAATTCATCCCTGCATTCTGACTCTGCGTTCTAAATACGTGGTTGTTCTTTATGTATCTGCCAAAGAAATGGGACCAAGTAGACTGTCCCTTAGGAGGGCACGTGTTCCTAACGCAGTCTCTGCGATCTGAGTGACAGAATCTAGACTCCCCCTAACGCAATCCCTCCCAGTCTGGCCTCAGGTTTCCCCTCATTTCTGATTCCTCTAACCACCCCCAACTGAGGCTTCCTCTGCTGGGGCTTCTATGGGACTTTTCACGTGGTTAGAATGGGGGACCCTCCCTCCCCTTCCCCCAGGTAAAGCCCAGAAACAGCCTGAGCAAGTTTCGGTTCCTCTTTTTCATTCCTGCGGTGAAACGAGACAGTTGTGTGGGGACAGACTGTGACCTGTGATGTTCTGGTCACACTGAGTTTATGGCTGGTAGTGATCATCTAGGAGGGAGGGTCAGGCCAGCTTAACTCTGCAGCTTGGACCAGCTTCACCCTGTTCTATGGCAGCCCCACCTCCTGAGGGCTGGACATGTACACCATGGCTAGCCTGTGTAGGTGCCCAGCCAAGGCCCTGGTTCCAGACATGCCCAGCCGAGGACCTCTGGTTTGAGGTACGAAATGATGGTTCTTCTAGGCAGGGTCTTCTCCAGGTCCACCCAGACCCCTGGCCAGTAGGGTGACTACCTGGCACACCTACTTTAGCCAGCAGAGAGTGGTGCCTTCCTGGTTCTTAGCCATCTAGAATTTTTGTTCAGCTCTTGTGCTCATAAGGATTGGTTGCCCGCCTTAAGCGAGCAGGTGTTCAATGAGGTCAAAGGTGATCTTTGAGTTCAAGGGGACCAAAGAGGCTGGTGCAGTGGCTCAGTGGGCAAGGGAGCTTGTTATATAAACCTGATGAGCTGAGTTCCATCCCTGGAATCCATGTGGAAGGAGAGAAGGAATTCTCAAATGTTCTCCTCTGACCTCCATCCACACAGAGGTCAGGGCACACGTGTGTCCTCCTACACACACACTGACAATAATAATAATAATAATAATAATAATAATAATAATAATAATGATAAATTCATTACTGTAAAAGATGGGCAGGGCATGGTGGTGCACACCTTTAATCTCAGCATTTGGAAAGCAGAGACAGGCGGATCTCTATGAGTTCAAGGCCAGCCTGGTCTACATATAGCAAGTTCCTGGATAGGCAGGACTACAGAGAGATCTTGTCTCAAAATTAATTAATTAACTAAATTAATTAAAAATAATAAAAAGAGAGGCTTGTGAGATAGCTCAGTGGGTGCAGGCACCTGCCACAGAGCCTGACTCAGTTCTTGGACAGACACGCTCGAGAGAGAGCTAAATCCCACAAGGGCATGGGCACACGCAGGGGCACACGCGGGCACACACACACACACACACACACACACACACACACACACACACACGTTATAAATGAACAAATGTAAAAAAATTTAAATAGGACAAAGGGATGGTTGTTGTTTGACTTATCGAGATTCCTGTTTCGGAACCCCACGTTGGAGAAAGGAGGCCAGCAATCAGCTGGGTCAAGGGCGAGGGGTAGGGAGCAGGAAATGAAATCAATGGGAGAAGCTCTGCAGACTCCCCAGGAAAAAAGTGGCAAGTTAAGACCTCAACTTCCTACCACAAGGCAGGAAACGCTCCTTGGGAGAGCCAGGGACGCATGAGACCTCAGTTTCCAATTCCAGCACAACAAACAAGCAGTGTAAAAGAGAAACCCGCAATTTTATCGAGAAGCCACTAATGCAAGACTCTTCTGTCTGCTCTGCCATCCAGGACACCTACGCTGTGACAGAGTAGGGCAGCGTGCCAAGGCCAGTCATGACCTTTCGGAAGGTGGGCAGGGCCAAAGAGGAGGCTCTGTGTTCCAGAGTGTCAACCACCCCTGAAGAAAGAGCACATATGAGAGGTAGGTGGAGGCAGGGTGTGCCTGACTGAAGGCTTCCTTAGGATTCCTGGGCTCCTCGCTAGACCCTAGCCCATGTCCAGGCACACAGCTGAGGGCCTTTGGTTTGATGTGTGTCATGAAGAAGTTGCCAGGCTTATTTCCTTGGGTAGGTTTGCTTCATGTCATAAACACCCTCTGCTGTCCCTCTGCCCCTTACTACCACCTGTCTCTAGTAGGTCACACAGTGAGCGAGTCAAGGCGTGCAGTTAGGGGAAACTCTTGAGGTTTCTCAGAAGCCAGGAACGGCCAGGTCTCCAGGTGGTTACAAAGGCATCCAACTGGGTCAGAGCTGATGGTCAGTGTGATGCCGTGGGCAGAAGATACCAACTGACAGGACCGGGGGCAACCAGTGGTAGGGCTGAGGGCGAGGGTGGGAGCATGCTGCCGTGTGGAACAACTCGGTTTTAAAATCTGATCCAGGGGATCTAATTTAAAATTAGATCCTGATGAGACTCAGCTGGCATCATGGGGGTGCCACATGGGCAGTCATGGGGATTCTGCACTTAGAAGGACCTCAGGATCGGTTTAATGCTTTCTTTTGTCATCTTGAATTTGTTTGTTTGTTTGTTTGAAACAGTCTCTCTATATAATCTTCTGTCCTCAAATTCACAATCCTCTTGCCTGAATCTTTTGAGTGTTGTGGGATTACAGATGTGTGATACCATGCCTGTCTTTGAAATCTTTCATTCCTTTTCAACAAGAGGTCTTATATATTTTGGTTTTTCATTGGACCTGCAGACTACAGAAAGTCCTAAATAAACAAGTGGCTAGATTTTAACTAGGGTTGGACTGCAGAGGCGAGACCAGCTATGATGAATCCTAGCTCTCATATCTGTCCACAGGCCACAGGCACTTCTCGGCTTGAGATGAGTAAAGGAACATCTCCCAGCAAGCCTGGGGGCAGAGTGGGTAGAGTTATAAAAGAGACCGCAGAGAGTTGGGGACCACCTCAAGGAGTGCTCAGGGCAGGAGATCTGATAGGACCCAGGGTCTGGAGCTTTCATGGCCTAGCCCAGAAAGCAGTTCATAGAGAATAGGACCACGGTGAAGTTTCCAAGTCTGCCACTGCCCAGACCCCAGAGCCCGGGGTTTTCTGCTTGAGCTGTCCCTACAACATCCTTTGGTAGCACAGTGGCAACCAAGTCAAGTGAACCACTGTGCTTCCCTGGAGACTCTTGTGTGGGTGCCAGAGAGTGCTGCTGGGCACCACTTTTTTAAACGCCCACCTAAGGAACTCTTCCAAGAATACCTTATCTCTAGAGATGACAACCCTTTTCTGGAGGAGACATCATGCTCCATGACATTTTTAGGAGTAATACAGCTTAGCACTCCCTGCTGCATGACTCTGGCCACTGGGATCCTCTTCCTTGTTACCATCTGTTCTCACACTTCCTTTATCTATACTTTTGTCTAAAAGCTTCCAGTCAGGGATTCATTCCTCCCTCTTGTCTAGACCATAAGCTATTTGAGGGCAAAGATCAGGTTCTCAACTTCTCCATCCAACACAGAATGTTGTACCTTGATAACAAAACCATACAGCAAGATGAACAATTACATATATTTTTGAGACAAGGTCTCATGTGTTCTAAGCTAGCTTCAAACTTGTTACATAGCTGAGGATGATCTTGAACTTCTGGTCCTCCTGCCTCCGTCTTTCTCATGCTAGGATTACAGGCGCGTACCATCATACCTAGTGTATGTGCGCTGGGGATGAAACCCGACTTCAGGCATGCTTGGCACGCACTCTACCAACTGAGCACTTTCCCAGTGCACAACTACACCTTGGCTGATGGACTAGCAGCGCTGGCATACTGACATTCAGAAAGCATCCAGCTGGGCTGGGCGTGGTGGCGCACGCCTTTAAACCCAGCACTTGGGCAGGCGGACCTCTGTGAGTTCGAGGTCAGCCTAGTCAACAGAATGAATTCCAGGACAGCCAGGGCTATACAGAAAATCCCTGCCTTGAAAGATAAAGAGAGAGGGAAAGGGGGAAGGAGAGAGAGAGAGAGAGAGAGAGAGAGAGAGAGAGAGAGAGAGAGAACTTCCAAATGCTTTGCCATTCTAACCCAAAGAGACAAAGAGGGGACCCTCTATTGAAGAACCAAGAGGCAGAGTTGTGCACCTAGTCCCACAGCCGGAGATGCAGAACCTCACTCTATGTCTGCCGTCTCCCTCTGGTATCTATTAATGGTGACAGATAGGGTGGACAACAAAAGTCTAAAAGTGTAGGCACCCTGCTTTTGCCTACGTTCTATAATCCTTGCGGAGGGACTCTCAAGCTGTCCCCTCTCCTTGACACAGAATATCTAAAATTCCAAGCAGGACCTAGACACCAGGGAGCCACATGTTTCTACTCACCAGGTCGTCCAGGTTATAGGTGATGAGATCCATGTCCAGGGTTAGTGGGTAGTTCATAGTTGCTGTCTGTGTCACCAGACTGGTCCCTGTCTGATGCTGAGAAGCTCTGTGCTGGTGCCTATGGAGAGGTGGCAGGCGTCAGCTGCAAATTTAAACAAATGAGCTGGGTGCCGTCTCCTGGGGCCGCGTAGGGCTTGCCACTTGCCTCTCAACTCATCATTTTTTTTTCCACTGGGTCTTTTCTGGTGTGTGTGTGTGTGTGTGTGTGTGTGTGTGTGTGTGTGTGTGTGTGTGTGTGTATTTTTTCCTTTCTTTTTTCTTTTTTCTTTTTTTTTAAGAAAAAGGGAAACTCCCCCACAGCATCAGCAATAGTCAGGCTTTTCAGCATCTTTCCTGGCAACTGTGGTCTGGACTGGGCCAGGGGTCTGGTGTAACGGCAGCCCTTCACTCCTGCTCGCGGGACCTCTGTGAGGGAAGCACACAGACTTGGGAAACTCCTCATAGAAAGGGACAAGAGAAGAGTGCTTCCAGCCACCTTGAGGTCTTCACTTTTCTCATCACTGGGGTGACCAGCCACACCGGTTTGCCTAGAACCAAAAGAAAGTCCCTGCCCTGGGAAACCCCTCAGTCCTAGGCAAGCCGGGGCCTTGATCAGCCTGTTACTGATCAATTGTCCAGCCAGGAAGGATCACCCCTCCTTCCCTTTTCAACTCAAGTTTGAAAGAGATATAAGTTAGAATTTTTTCAAAGGGAACAACCCTAAAATAACACTAGAAAACCAAAACATGAAATTACCAAATGAAAGCAAAACATAAACACAGCTACAGAGCCGTGCTCTGAAATAACGGTGTTCCACCCACAAATAAACTTGTAGACAGCCTGGCTAGAAAGGACATGGGCATCCACCTAGGCCGCCCCCCTCCAATTTTACACAAGAGGACCCTATAGCCCTGAGGCGGGGGGGGGGGGGCGGCGCGGAGAAGGGGAAGGGGAAGAAAGAGAGAGAGAGAGAAACTTACCCAGGACCCTGTAACACATCAATGACAGCCACCTTGTATCAAGGGTCCTGACTCCATGTTTATCATCCTCTGCTCCCCAAGGCAGCTTCTCTACAGGCTCCTAGCACCTGCTTTTCCTCCTGCTCTGTCCATTGTGAGTGGTAGACACTGATCCGTTTCCCCTCCAGGTTTCATCCTGGTGGGTTTTCTCCTATGGTGGTGTGGGGGGAGCAGAGGGGGGCGGTGAAAGGGGGTGCATTTCTTGATTTGTTCACAGTAGTGTAAGACTGCACCCAAGGCGCCTACCTATGGTGTACTGGGGTGTTTTGTTTTTGGGGTTTTTTTGTTTGTTTGTTTGTTTTGTTTTGGTGTGTGTTTTGTTTTTGCTTTGCCCCAACTTTGTAATCATCCTTCCCTTCCAAGCCAAACCACTACCCACACACTGTCGTCACCCTGCCCTCCCAGGCAAATGACCTTTCAAGGGGATCCTATCCTGACCGGAGTTCTCCTTCCCCATCTCCTCCATAGTCCAGTCTCCCCTTTCCCAGCCTGCATACCTTGGTTACAGCAGTCCCTACCTCGTCCTCAACATAGAAAACATGTTCCTCAAGGCTTAAAGTGGGAAGACTTTTAAGTCCGGGCTGTTTCAGTCTCTCCCCCCTCTCCTCCATTCCCTACCTTCAGAAACGGCTCTTTCAAAAATGTTTACATTTTAATTTATTTTAGTGTGTGTGTGTGTGTGTGTGTGTGTGTGTGTGTGTGTGTGTGTGTGTGTGTAGCATGTGTGGGAGAGACAGAGACGACAGAGAGAGCACGTGTGGAGGTCAGAGGACAACTTGTGGAAGTTGGTTCTCTCCTTCCACAGTGTGGGACCTGGGGACCAAACTCAGGAGGTCAGGCTTGGTGACAATGTCTTTACCTGCTGAACCATCTTGCTGGCCCCAAAACCTGCACTTGAGGAGGAAGAAGGCCAGGACAAGGGAGGGCTGGAGCGTCTCTCTAGCCCCTCTAGTCCTGTACCCTTCTGGGACACTGTCTCAGAGCTTCTTGGGTCTGGAAATGACCAAGCACTGCTCATCCTTCCAACCCTACCCCACACTGTCTTGCCCCTCCAGCCCGTACACAGGGTCAGCTTTTGCTACCCGGAACACACCGCTCAGAAGAGACAGAGCATGAGACTCTCCTAGGCATGGAAAGGGACTTTGAAAGACAAGCCAGTCACCCCTCTCTCTACCTCCCACCTCCAGGGAATGCAAGAGCAGAGGTCACCGCGTCTTCATCAAACAACCCGTCACGGGGTGAGAAAGGAAATCAAGTTTCTCAGATGTCAGGGTGAATGTCTGTCACCCTAGCACTTGGGAGGGTGAGGCAGGAGGATTGTGAGTTTGAGGCGAATGTGGACTACGTGGTGAGACCTGTCCAAAAAATAAAATAAAAAGAAGGGGGAGGGATCTTGTTTGAGAGTAGGATGTTAGAAACTGACTCCTCGTGCTGAGTCAAAAGGCGTCTTCTTGCGTCATCCCAACAGTTCTAGGGCCTCACGCAGGACCATGTAGCATGTCTCCCAAGTGACCTCTGACTACAGACATCATGTGCTTGTGAGTCTCATGTTTCTAAGACCCATATTCTAATGTCTTCAACTATTTTTCGAAGAACTGATTTTTGGGTCCCTCATCAGCCTGTTCTTTGACCTCTGGGTGATTTCCGGTCAGTGGTCCAGGAAGTCTGTGTCTAAGATAAACTCTAGGAAACTGAGTTTCCTTGTTCAAGACTCCGAACATATTTAGTTGCAATTAGCATGACCGTTTCTGTGGCTCCTTCTCCTCTTGACCTCATAAAACCCTGTTAGTGGGTTTCATGCTGATGGCTCAAACCCATCACTGATTTTATAAAGGGAAACTTCTCACCTGTAGATGTGATGACAACATAAATAAGCCATCCTTGGGTCTAGCCAAGTCTTGATAGGAGCTCTTAGCAGGACAAAGCCAGAACCAGCATCTTGCTTTGTTTACCTAGAAAGGTCTGGGAAGACTTCATGGAAGTAGGACCCAAGCTGGGCCATAGGGAGGTGCATGATGGGAGGGTGATGATGGGGTTGGAGGGCTGCATGAAAAGGTGTGTGGAGCCGGGCAGTGGTGGCGCACGCCTTTAATCCCAGCACTCAGGAGGCAGAGGCAGGCGGATCTCTGTGAGTTCGAGGCCAGCCTGGGCTACCAAGTGAGTTCCAGGATAGTCAGGGCTACACAGAGAAATCCTGTCTCAAAAAAAAAAAAAAAAAAAAGGTGTGTGGAAAAATTGAGCCATCCCTGGCACACTGTAGGCATCCCTGGCACACTGTAGGCATCCCTGGCACACTGTAGGCATCCCTGGCACACTGTAGGCATCCCTGGCACACTGTAGGCATCCCTGGCACACTGTAGGCATCCCTGGCACAAGAGGAAACGTCAGGGGGCTCAGGACGGTTTCTCAGAAGCAGCAGCTGCAGGCCCTGGCCGGGAAGTCTACCTGCGGTGCGGTGTCGGCTGCAGCAAAGCAGTCCCTGTGTCCCCTTCACAAGGACTGGGCCAAGCCCTGTGCAGCTGCTGCACCTGGGGCTTTACCGGACTCATCTCTGTTCCCTCCACTTCCTGGTCTGGACTCATTCAGACATCATCCCTTCTGGTCCCGTCAGATGCAAGGATCCATTCTCACCTGGGCCCTTTAATCTTAGCCTTCTTGTTGGTTAATCCTTAGCCCTAAGTGGATAAACACCTTCGAGCCACAGGCTTTGGTAATGCTTCAGAAGCCTCAGAGGGTCACTGTCTGTGTTTGGAAAAAAGGCTCGCTAGATCTTATTAAAGATGTATTTGTTTAAATTAAATTTTATTGTTTTATGTGGGTGAGTATTTTGCCTGCATATGTATATGTATGTGCACTATGTGTACCCGTGTGAGCCTCTGCCTGAGGAGGCCAGAAATGGGCATCAGATATCCTAGATCCGGAGTTACAGAGGATTGTGAGCCACCATGTGGGTGCTGGGAATCAAACCTGGGTCCTTTGCAAGAACAGGTGCTCTTAACCACTGAGCCAACTCTCCAGCCTCAAGGAGCATTTTATTGATTGATGATTGATATGGGAGAGCCCAACCCACAGTGAGCAGTACCACCCCTGGGCCTGTGGTCCTGAGGGGTATGGAAAAAAGGCTGCTGAACCTGAGCCTGGAAGCCCCAAACAAAAACAAAAAGAGGCAGGGCCACAGTGATCCCCTCTCCATGTATTCACACCGTCACACAGATGGGTCTCCTTTGCCGCATGGTTCTGCCATAAACTGCTGCCACAGGCTCCCCTCCCCCAAAATGAAGTTAATTGGTGATGAACTGAAACCTGGAAAACCGTGAGCCAAAACAAGCCCTTGTGAGCTGATGACTGCTGGTAGTTGTTACAGCAACAGGAAGTGCTCTGATACATCACCATAGGCTCTTCAAACCCATAGAGCCAGACCAGCCTCCCCAGGACAGAGAAGGCAATGCCTACGCCGTGGTCCTTGCCTTAAAAGATGTGTGAAGGCAGAGGTTTCACCTGTATGCTACAGTCAGCAGGAATGGGGCCCTTCCAGGTAAGGCAGCCCAAATAACACTTCAATTTGCTGTTTGTGTGTGGTTTCTACCCTGCGGACAGCCTCTGAGGCTGAATTATTATATCCCAGGTTTCTCACTAAAATGACCAGCGCTGGCTTTGTGCCTGGGTTAGGTGTGGGTGGCTGCTTAAACCCCAGCTCAGGTGGATTTTCCCCAGTAATTATGCCTTGCTGTTAATGGATTATATTAATTTCCATTTGTTCCACCTACTAGATATAATCACTTGTATCCACAGAAAAATTGAATCGTTCCACAGAGGCTTAGAGTGTTGCTGGAGGGAACAGGTCCCCGTCGGCCTCAGCCTTTTATTAACTGGAGTGTTCTTCTCCTGGGTAGAGATCTCATTGTTTCTCCAGTGGGTCCCCTTTGATGGTGAACAATGGAGTTTCACAGCTCACCTGCCTCAGAAGGAGTTGGTGTCCCTTCAAGTCCCTAAGAGAGA